CCACAAGAGAGCTAGTCTCTAAAACAGACATGGCTATGACTTGATGCTAACATGTTTACTAGCTGTCAGAATTCAGTTAATTTATCTTAGGATACATTTGATTGGTTTTTGGTAAAACTCCACCAGCCGCCACTGGATTTATGATCAACCTGGAGCTGTTCCGCACAAATATATTGCAATATAATATATCTGAAAAAAATGTTTTTTTTTATGTATTTAAAAAAAAAAAATCACATTTAATAATTTTTAATGCCAATTAAGGCCTTAATTTATAAAATAATAATAATAATTTAATGACTTAATGATTTTTAATGACCCGCAGAAACCCTGTTTAATCTACGTTTAATCGAAAGTTTCAGCGACAATCACCCAGATGTGCCATACAGTTATGTAAAACAGTTTTATGACTTTTAAAGTGGAAAAAAAATAACTGTCCACCTGGAAAATATTCTGTGGTCTGCTGAGAAAATGCACAGACAAAGCAGTCTGACAGGTTCCATGTTGCTCTTTTGGTTTGAAATGTGTGTTTATGGCAACCGTTTGTCATCAAATCTAAAGCGGCATGTTTGCCTGCAGCTAACATGTTCTGTTTTTACATGTGATCCTGAGACAGAGAGCAATCTCCCACCAGAAAGGAGCTGAAACCTCTGTAGACAAGTCATCACATGAACTTGTTCACACCATGAAAATAATTGCAAACATGCAGGCACATGTGGGGCTGTTTGCTCAGTCCTCCTGGATACCCCTCAAATAAATGCCAAAGTCTCTTCACCACAATAAAGTTAACCACCACTTTTGATTCAGGTTTACGAGTTTTATGCTATAGACCAATAATTGGAAGGAAAATAAAACAAGGCCTTTATCATTTTGCATACTTTCAAAAATCTAAAAAATATGGGGATTAGTCTTGTGTCTTTACTCTTAGAAATAAATCCAGTGCAACCGATTGCCTTCAAAGGTCACCTAATTGGTAATTAAAGTCTGTTATATGGTAAGGTGGTAAGTTTCCATGTGTCGTAGACGGTAGACATAAACCAGAACCAGCTCTGGTTAGAAAAGACCACAATAAACCCTTTTAACCTATGAGCAAAATACAACAGAAAAAATGTTACTTGTCACCCCAATGTTACTTGTCAGACCCATGTCTGCTTTCTCCTGAGAAAGCAGACATGTTAATTTTTCTAAAGAAAAACTGCTAAATAAAAAGTTCCTCACAATGCAACAGTGAATATTAGACACTGACTTGTTTGCAACTGTTCTTCTTCACTGAAATTTTTTTTTTATGCAAGATGAAAAATGTAAATGTAAAAACTCAAGATTTGTACTTTATTATGTTGTGTAATTTTCTTTTTTCTTCGAATTGATATTATAAAACTGGTATCGAAAAATGCATTGTTCAGGAACCGGTATCGAAGTGAAGGTATCGGTATTGGTACCGGCACCGAAAATTTTTGAATGATACCCAGCCCAACAAATTCCTATAATAAATTAGCAAAACAACAAAC